GAGGTGTAAAAGTGCTGCTGCTGCTGCTGCTGCTGCTGCTGCTGCTGCTGCTGCTGCTGCGGTGGAGGAGGAGGAGGATGAAGGAAAAAAATAGGACAGTTTTTGCATTAATGGCAGACACGGCGGTAAATTTAGCAACAACAACGGCCGAACGGTGAAAACACTGGTGTGATGACGCGACTCCTCCAGTGTGAGGCGCTGTACAAACCTGTGTTGTTGTTGTTGTTGATGTTGTTGTTGATGTGATGACACCGGGGTCAGGAGTGGAGTCAGAGTTACACGGGTGTGTGTGAGGGACGCAGCCGAGGTGCCAAATCATCGGGCCACATGTGGCCTGTAGGTCGCATGGTTCTGGGCCACAAAGAATAATAAATAATGTTAATAAAAATAACGTTATTTATTATTAATGTTAGAAAAACCAACTTCTTATCTTTGTGACGCAGAGTTTTCTGAGTCTGAGAGTGTTGTTTTTTTTGTGATTTTTCTTCTGATTCATCCAGATTAAAGTTGATTGATCGTCCTCAGTGATGATCACATTAATCAGGATTAAAATGTAATTAATCAGATTTTAATCGTTTGACAGCCTTGGAAACTTCAGAATTCAGGGTCCTGGTACAGACACCAGAGGATGAGCATGAAGAAGGACCAGAGGAGATGAAAGCAGGAGGGGGCGGGGCCAGTGACAAACCCTACAACCTCATTATGTCTGTTGGCATTTTAACTCCTTTTGATGATTTAGTAAGAAGAGGAGATGATCGGAGGAGGAGGAGGAAGAGGAGGAAGAGGAGGAGGGGGAGGAGATGTTTTCTCCCCACTCTTGTGTCCATGACACCAATTCAATCCTCTGCTCGCACACATGACGCAGACCAGAGAGAGAGAGAGAGAGAGAGAGAGAGAGAGAGAGAGAGGGGGGAGAGAGAGAGAGGGGGGGGAGGGAGGGAGACTGGAGAGAGAGAGAGAGACTGGGGAGAGATGTTTACACTTTCTTATTGTAGTGTAGTCTTTATTTGATGCATGAAATCCTTTATGCCTCCTTTTCTGGGTCATAGTGAGCCTCACAGGCTGGAGACGCACACACACACACACACACGTACGACGGTGCCCGGTTGTTTTTCTTCATCTCTTTACAGAACAACCTGAGAAGTCCAGTAGAGTGTCAGCTGCAGAGGGGAG